TGGCTTCAGATGTTTTGGTCTGTGTTCTTTGGCTCTGCTGCTTTTGGACCTGTGGTAAAGCAGAATATCTAGGCATGGATTATGTGGCAGAGGAAACTTCCTCTCATGACAGCTCAGACACAAAGAGAAAAACAGGAAGGGGCTGGGTTCCCAATGTGCCCTTCAAATGCACACCTCCAATGACCTAACTTCCTCCCAGTAGGCTCTAACTTTATAACAGTGCCAGTCTGGGGACCAAGTCTTAATACATGGACCTTTGAGTTACACATATCCCCACTGAAGCATTGGGTTATTGAGTATGTGTATATTCAATGTTCAGGTTTGCCAAAGATTTATGAGAGTGTTAAAACAATTTAACTTTTCATTAGTGGTAAGTGAAAATTATCTTAGATAACTCTTTAGTGTTGGCTTCTTCTCTTATTTTATTACATTCAGGGGTCATACTCTGCAAACTTCACATTTTCAGAGCATATAGTTTAATTACAGTAAAGTACTTGAATAATATTTAGAATATTTCATAGAAAGAAAAAATATATAATGCATGTTTGCTTATATATACAGGCAGTCATCAAATTGAGAGTTAAATAACTTTGGAGTATCAGCATATAACTAGGTGCAAAATAGTGAGAAATAAAATTTTTATTATCAGAATTGATAATGGGGAAACACTATGAACTTCCGACCAAAAACCACCAATGGCCAGAAGACCTCAATGTTTTTGACATTTGTATGAGAGATGACAAAAAGAAGCTAAACTAAGAACAGGGTGACACAAAACAGTCATCTTAAACTTTGTGGGACTACTGTGAGAACAGCAAGGTCACTAGAAAGGGTTTTGTACTTTCCAATGGTAATAAGTACAGAAGCATGGCAAGGCTGAAGAGTGTGGAGTAATGTAAACCTTGGGAATTCTTGAAACTGGGCTTCCTTGTAGACAGAATTACACACTGCAAAGAAATATTGGGAATAAAATGAAAACCAAGCAAAGATTTTACAAGAGAAAACAAAAGAACAGTCCAAACAGGTTGGGCAAAGTCATGAAGTCAGAAAATACTAGACAGTATATTTTAATACTACACAGTATATTTTAATACTACACACAAAAGAAAAATTTGACAGAAAGGTATCTGGACCAAGTTCCTTCTTATAACTAAGAACAACTGAAAAAAATATTAAAATGGGCACCATTAAAAGTTCAGAGAACAAATTTGATTCAAAATTCCCATTGGAAAAACAATAAGAATGAGAACACTCATTTCAAGATTCATACTCACCCTGATACAAAAGCATATAAAAAATTACAAGAAAACTATAGACCAATATCTCTCATGAATATAGGTACAAAACTTCTCAAGGCAATTTAATATAGCTATGTGTACAAGAAGTATATACCATAACTAAGTGAGATTTATCCAGTGTTTTTAAGATTGGTCCAAAACAAAAAATTACAAGAGGAAAAATAATACTTCAATCTTATAAAAATTTAAAACTGAGGGGTTAGAACTCAAAAATTAGAAATAAAAAAGTAATTTTGGAAATCAAGGTTAATGTAGAAAGAACACAGGAGTAGGTGAACCCAGAAAATATCTTAATGAATCTTTAAAAATATAAATAATGAGAAAATAAAAAATATTTCATAGAAAGAAATACTTGCAAAATAATAAAAAATTATTCAGAGAGTGACATAAAAAATAAGCAAAGCAGATCCAATATATGTATAATAGGAGTCCAGAAAGGGAAATAAGATAAACAAAAATTTTATGAAAGTTTCCTAACTCTATTCTACATTTCCAACAACTATGCATATGAGTAATTAAATAATAGATGTGGGATCTGTCTACTTATGAAATAGTATAAAATTAAGTAAAATAATAAATGAAAATTTTAAAATGAAGTATCATTCTGAAGAAAAGTACTTTGTACAATGGCATAGAGCTTGATGGATAAGAAACCAAATATAAATACAATATAATACAAAAAATAGCTAGCTGTGTGAGTGGTACACACTTCATAGGCTGATCTAGGTGTATCATCCAGGAGTTGAAGACCAGCTGTGGAAAAATACAAATACCTTGTATCCAGAAAAAAGAGGAGGAAGAAAGAAAAGAGAGAGGGACAGAGGGAAAAGGAAAGGGACAGAGAAAGACAGAGACAGAGGAGAGAGAGATAGAGAAGAGAGGAAAGGAAAGCAAAAGAGAGGAGAGGAGAGGAGAGGAGAGGAGAGGAGAGGAGTACCTACTTCAAAGCACTGCCTATTATTGGATGTGAATTGCATCAAGGTACTGAATCTAGCTGACAGTTTGTAGAAACTATAGAGAACAAATGTCTCTGTTAATCTGTACCATGAATGTGAATCAACAAGATCCAGATCATGAAAACACTGTAGGTCACATGATCAGGATCACTGAACATAAACATGTTACAAAAAGTGAAGGAAAAATGGGCAAGGTTACTCTTTGGTGTCTAGGGATTTTCACTTGTATGATTAAAAATGCAACACAATACAGTGAAGTGATTACTACCAAAGTCAGGAGAGGCAATTTTGGAAGGGGAAGAGGACCTCACTGGAACAAGCCACCGGAAGTTTTCCTAAGTGGCAGCAAAACCCTATCTCTTTACCTGTATTGCTGCTACAAGTGAACTCATCTTGTAAATCTTTTGTTAAGTCAGAGATTTTCCAAGTGTGGTCCCAGTTCTATAACCAGCATAACCCAGGAACATGATAGAAATGCAAATTTTCAGACCCCAGCCCATGCTTAATAGTCAGACATTCTCAGGCTGCTGGGGGCCCAGCAGTCTGTACTTTAAACATCTCTTCAAGACATTTAGATGCTAACTCCAGTTTGAGAACCAGTACACTAAGCCCTACATTTTATGTATGGCTTGCTGCTTTTGTTTTGCTTTATAATAAAAGGTTAACACATTTTCAACCTGTAGAGTAATGTATTTTTAAAAGGCAGTGGTACCTTCTATTATATATGCATAACATACATTCTATATAGTATGTATATCATATATGTAAAATACAAGTGGTGATTGAAAAATATAGAAAATGTTTGAATTTAAAATATTATTATATTGCTACTAATCTCTTCAAAATGCTTTCCATCACTTCAAACATATTTATCGCATGGTTCTTCCACTTTCTGAAGCAGTATTGGAAGTTCTCTTTCATGACTACCATGTTATTATGAGGTGTGACCAAAAATATAGTAAATGTTGCTGTCAAGTGTCATCCAATAAAAAGACAGGCTCATAAGAATATTTTGGTGTGTCCTCATTGAGCATGTCCACCAGATCTGGCACCATGCATATTCTGGCTCTTCCTCAAAGGCAAAATGACCATGAAAGGTAAGTGGTTTGAGTCAATTCATTTTGTCAAGAAATCTACAACAGTGCAACAAAAGACACTAATGAAAGAATTTCCAGCACTGCTTCTGAAAGTGACAAGAATGATGGGATACATGTGTTTAAATGAAGGGGGAATATTTTGAAGAGCATTAATGATACAATGTCTCTTACTATAACCATTTCTTAAATTTAAACATTCACCATATTTTAGATCATCATTGTCCATACAGGGTTTTTTATTTATATAATAAAAAGTGTGAAATGACATACATCAAAACTTCAACAGTGATTTAACACCTCAGAAGGGTGGGGAACTTCTTTAATTTATTTTTATTTTTTACATTAATTTGAGTTGAGTATCATTTTTAACTTAAAAAATTATAGTTTGAAAGATGCCAAACACAAAAAACATTAAGACTTTGACCTAAACGTTGTCTAAATTGTGTTTCAGGGAACAGTATTATACTACCAGATGTTATACAGTATTCCAAATGAAGTGCTTAGTAGGCAAATAAGAACATCTTAGAATTTAAAAATGAATATTAGTATTTTAAAGGTTATAATATTTAACTTTACTCAGCATTTTTTCACCCAACTTTTTTCCAACTTTGAATCCTTCCTTCACAAATTTCCTATGAACATTTAACAACCATGATGGGTGTGAGCCAGCTTGTATAGCTTGTGAGATTCAATTGTGCATGCCTCTTTTCAAGTCTGCTTTCATTTACATTGGATTAATAGCTTAAAATCAGTTATAGTGGGAATGTTTACACCACGCAAATCTACAATCACGTGAACAAACTTCCACCTGCTTCCACAGTTCGACATTTTCCAGCACACCACAGTGTAACACACTCAACATTTACATAGGACACTGGAAAATTCTGCTTTGTATTATTTCCTTTCACGGGAATCTAGTAGCCTTTACTAATTTTAAATTTCTTATATTCCTAATTTATAGGGATTAAGTAAATCAAAATGTTATTTCTCTTAGCATACCAGATATTTTAAAACACTGGAGAGGAGGTTAGGTCAGAGTAGAAGGCTGAGAGACTAAATAATGTCAAAAGTACTCCCGATAGTGTTGCTGTACATGGCAGAACAGAACCTTTGGGACACTTTCAAAGTAAATGATTGTGACAATTTTCTCTTGACATGTCACTGGTTTTCTCATGTAGTATAAAGTTCTAATTTATTTTTTTTTCTCCACCCACAACTCCCCCTAATGCTATCATATAGAAAGAGCTATATTTCCCATAGGATATTATGGAAGTAGTTCTTGATTTGTCTACTTTTGGCTGGTGTGATCAAGTCCTAAAGAACATTGTCACAACTATGGGGAACTAGGAAGCAACATCCTCTGTCAGGAGAGCTTGAAATACACTTCCAGTAAAGGCCATCGTCACTGGCATGTATGTCATCCTTTTGTCCTCTCTCAGCTACTTTTACACACACTCCTCAGAGATTAAAACCTCATTCACTAGCAGAATAGTGGGACAAGGGCCAATGGTTAGAGATTTTTGAACAGGTGGTAGTCAGCAAGAGTGAGACAGGAGCATTAATAAACTCATCTTATCTTTTTAAAGAAAGACTTATATTATTCTTTCACCTTATACCCACAGATGGATGTTAGATAACGCAAGTCCTACCTTGCCAAGACTGGATTGCTGGCAGCAGCCTTCCTTAACCAGAATTAGAACACACCACACAGATGAACTATGTGACATGCGCCTAGGAGAGCAAAATGGGAATCTCAGTGGTGGGAAAACAAACACTGTTGCTCAGTAACACAGAAGTCATGTGCTGTACAGTAGCACTGAGCCCAGGCCTTAAAGCAAAACTCCAATTCCTCCTTCATGGAGTCATGCATACCAGAACGACAGGCCTGAATGCCATAGGCTTCTGTGTGAAAGAAGAGATTCCCACTGTAAATTGTAGCATGGGTTTTCCTCCCAGTGGTAGCAACAGCATGAGCTCAAGCACCATTCTCACCAAGATGCAACTGTCCCAAGGATGATGGAGGGCCGTTTGTTGTTTACTGCTACCTGCTACATCATTGAAACTAGGCACACGTATGTTAACCTACCGATAATGGTATTACATTATCATATATATACAGTTTTAATTGATAAAAGTTATATCACATTTATGTTTAATTCTGGGGGACATTATATAAGCAGTTGAGTATTTAGAATTCAGCTTCCTCCTAATGACACAATGTGCATGCACACACACACACACACACACACACACACACAGAAGTGATGAAAGTTGAATGAGTGTCACAAAAAGTCAAGCATGCTTCTAGTCATTTCTTCTACTATGAGAATATCTCAGACTTGTAAGAGAAGTATTTGTTTTCTATAATTATTCTGACCTTCTTTGCTGACAGGTGACCTTCAAACACCTTTTTAGACTTCTTTGAAAAGTATACATCATTCTTATCTCCTAATGAGAACCATGGAGTTGAAGATTCTCTAAGGAGGTCTTAGGACCTATTTTACTTTCTTGATTACTACCATTTGCTTCCAAAGTTTGAAACTTTACTGGACTGTTAAAAGCATAATGATCAGCCTGGTGTGGTGGTGCACACCTATAATCACTGCACTCTGGGAAGCTGAGATGGGGCATTCCAAATCTGAGCCCAGCTTGGGCAACTTAATGATTTAGACTCCATCTTAAAAATTTTAAAAAGGGCTGGAGATTAAATTCATTGTGAAGGCAGTACCACAAACAAAGCAAAGAAAAACCATAGCTATCAATATCCAAACTCCAAAGGAAAGAGAATATTCTAATCTTGGTGTTTTATCTCCATCATAATAGCTGTTATTTATTGTACACTGTTTTCAGTTATTTTACATTGTAATTTGGATCTGAAGTATCGCACATTCACTCATGTGTTAAAGACTGTCAACAGCCTCTGGTACTAGAGGGATGGCAAATACTTTAGGAAATGGGATCATTGACAACATGCCCTGGATGGGCATATTGGGACCCGGGACCTCACTTTCCCTCTCTTTTTTTTGCTTTCTGACTAGTGAGATGAGCAGCTTTGCTTGAGCACATGCTCTGTAGGATGATGTGCTCCCTTACTGCAGTTCCAGAATTAATAAGGTCAACAGAGGCTGGAGATATAGCTCAGTGGTACAGTGCCTGCCTGGCAAGCATAATGTCCTGAGTTCCAGTCCCAGTACAAAAAACAAAAAACAAAAACAAAAAAAAAAAACAATAAGGACAACAGAATATGGACCAAAATCTCTGAAACCAAGTCCAAATAATCCTTTCCTCCTTAAGTGCATTATCTCTGTCTCCTTCTTACTTTTTTTTGGAACGAATTAATTAATTAATTTAGAGACAGGGTCTTCCTAAATAGTGCAGACTGGCCTTGAACTCACTTATGTAGACCAGGCTGGCTTAAAACTCATGGCGATCCTCCTGCCTTAGCTTCCCAAGTTTCTCTTCTTTAAGTTTTTTGTCTCAGGTATTTTTGTCACGGTAACACAAAGCTAGCGTGACTTATTTCCTAGATTTTTATGTATTTCTTACAAGAACCCTGTGGGGTAGACAGTGTATAGATAAGAATATTGAAACTAAGAATTAAAGGACTTGCCCGGAAATACACAGGAAGAGATAGAGGTAAAGATGTAACACAAAGGACTGATGCCTCATTCTTTCATCACTGATTCCTTGAATCATCAAAGCATAAGCACTATATTTTCCACAATCGGTGGCAAATATAGACCAGGCAAATAAATGTCCTCGTTTGTTTCCCGCAGGGTATTCCTATCAAGAGAGAGCCCAGTGGAAAAGCTCTAAATTGCCTCTCAGATTCCCTTCCAGAGCAAAGTTCAGAGGAAGAAGTCCATTGCAGAGCTGTAATTGAGATGAGCTGACTTTGCGCTCTCTCTGTGACATCTGCTGCTGGCGCTCACATTTCCTGGCCCTTTTCTTGAATGTTGGCACAGCACTGTGGCTATTGCTTGCAGGAGTCTTAATGAATGATTGCATTCTGATTGATTTCCAGCCTAGAAAATGCTGAATATACTTGGTCTCAATACCCAGTAGCTCTTCCATAAATGAGCAGATGATATTTCCATGTACATCAACGTTCCTAATAGATGTAGTGTCAGATTCATTCACAAAATCAGAAACCACCCGACGTGACTTGTAGCATGTGGACAGACATCAAGGTGAGAGGTGCTCCTTTGTAAGATTCTTTGGGCTCGATGTCAGTAGCCCAGGGAAAACTAAACGATTATGAAGTTTTCTTAGGAACCACAGTTTGCTTTGTTCATTTAGCTTTCTATGGTGTATTACTGCTAGGAATAAAATGTTTCCCATCTTAGGTTTTGTTGACATAATAGCAATGTGGTCTGAAATTAGAATCTTAATAAAAACTCAAAGGGATGGTGTATTATGTGTGGTGTGTTATGTGAGAACACCGAGATATAAAATCATAAATGTAATTATTTATAAGCAGTACAGGGGGAATTCTGGAAAGAGCTAGTATTATATCTACATATCTTTAGGCAAGGAACTATTATCTTTCTTAGTCTATCTTTCTTTACATGTACATCAAAAATAATATTATTTTTTCAGAGAATTCCTGTGAAAGCTAAATAAGGTAATAAGTGTGTAAGCATTTCCTAATCTACACAGTTCTATGCAAAGACTAATATTTATTAATACAATAGAGAAAAGTGCAATTATTTGGCTAGCATTGTAACTTTTCAGTCATACTCAGGGGAAAGACAGTAATATCTTTTTATAGATACTAATTCTTTCATAACAAAGAAACAGAAAAGCATTTCAGAATGGATATTCTTCAAAGCACTGTATTCTAAATGTTTGGCACTTCTCTCCTTATTCCTTTTTATCTTCATAAATAATTTTTTCCTTATGAATAACATTTTTTTTTCATTTTACTGATTTTTTGAGACAGAATCTGACTATATAGTTCAGACTGGCCTTGAACTCACTATGCAGCCAAGGGTGGCCTTAAACTTGCAATGATTCTTCTGCCTCAGCCTCCCAAGTGCCAGGAGTACAGGCGTGTACCACCACACCCACAAAGTAATATATAATGAAAATTAGAAAATATATTAAAAAGCATTAAAAATTACCTGTATTCCAGACACAAACACTGTTAAAGGTTAGTCATATTTATTTTAAAGCATTTTCTATACATTTCTATTTTTACCAAAAATTGTACTGTGCTACTAATTGAATCATGGGCAATAACTTTTATATTTAGTTATTATTTTTCCTTTTCCTTGTATCAACAAATGGTCTTCAAATATTACATACTCTCAAATATGCTGTTTTATAACAAAATTATTTATCTAACTGTACTTCTACTCATGAGTATTTTATTTACATTGTATTTTTTTTCAAATAATTCTACAATCAAGGTACCACAAGTATAATTTTATTCCAATCTGTCTCTAAGAAGTAAAAATAGTTTGACTAATACCAAGCCTCTTAAAAGCTACAACCTATCAGGTGTGGTGGCACTCCTGTAGTTGCACCACTTAGGAGGCTGAGGCAGGAGGATTGCTGTGAGGCCAGCCTGGGATACAAAGTAAGTTCAAGGCCAGCCTGAGCTGCACAGCAAAACCCTGTCTCAAAAATACAAAAAAGAAATGAAAGAAAGAAAGAAAGAAAGAAAGAAAGAAAGAAAGAGAGAGAGAGAGAGAGAGAGAGAGAGAGAGAGAGAGAGAGAGAAAGGAGAGAGGAGAGAGAAGAAAGAAAAGAAAGAAAGAAAGAAAGAAAGAAAGAAAGAAAGAAAGAAAGAAAGAAAGAGAAAGAAAGAAGAAAGAGAGAAGAAAGAAAGAAAGAAAAAAGCTATGACCAAGCTAATGTTTTCATAAATTTTAATCTATTTACACTTCTGTGAACCATGAGAGAATCTATCTCAACAAACATGTTTTTACATTGGCTATTATATTTTCCAAAATCTTTCACTTACTTGATAGAACAAGGGCCTCATTTTGATTTTGCTTTCTTTCTAATGATAGTGAAATTAAGTCATTATATTCTTAATAATTTATATATGTAATTGATCAATCATAGTTTAAAATCTCTCACACTGACCAAAGATTTCTGAAAGTTCTTTAGATTTCCAAACACTTTTGCCTTTTCTTTTAGTGATACTGATATTACTGATACTGATTTCTATTACTGATACCGATGTTATGCTGAATAGTATATGAGGATTTTTAAATATTTTCTCTTCGTTACTGATATTACTACCTTTTCATTAAAATGACCCTTTTTAATGTTAAGCATTAAAGCATTAAAAAGGATTTAATGTTTTTGCTTTATGAAATACTAATATTACATTCTTTTTATTTGTATTTACCTTGGATTTATTTACTTGTTTTTCCAAACATATATATTTTAGGGGAGGAAATTATGAGTAGCATATCACACATTTGCCTTTCATTTACATATTTAAATCACATATTTTTGGTTTAGCTAATATTTGATTATCATTTGCCTTTCACTGGAGTATTTAACTAACATATATTTTGATTTAGCTAATATTTGGTTATGCTTCTAAATGTATTTTCTTTTTGTTCTTTTAATATATGTGCTTTGTCCTCTTTTTCCTTGATAGAGATTTTTCTTGGGGTTTTTGTTTTATATTCTGAGGTTTGTTTTGTTCAGTTTAGGGTTTTGACTATTGTTTATTAACTTGAGTTTGGAAGGAAGAAATTTTACATTTATTCC